AGGCCCTGTGGAGCCCATCAGCTGTGATGGACGGGAACAAGCTCTGGAGCCAGGCAGCTTAGGTTCAGATCTAGCTTCGGTACTTGCTAGCTGGGTGGCCTCAGTTACGTAACTTAAGCTCTGTGTGCTTTAATTCCTCTGTAACATGCATAGGGTTATGTTGAGTATGTTGAGGATTAAACAAAGTAATACTTGCAAAGTACTGTGGTTTTATTCCTCTTTTTAAGTCTTCACCCAAGGATATGTTTTTACTGATTTGAGAGAGAGAGAGAGAGAGAGAGAGAGAGAGATCAACCAGTTGCCTTTCATATGCTCTCTGACCAGAGAGCAAACTTGCCACATTTTGGTGTTGTACCGGGTGATGCTCAAACCAGCTGACCCACACCAGCCAGGTACAAAGTACTCTGTTGCCTTAAGAACACTTAGGATATTGTCCACTCTTCTGCCACCTGTCTCCAGTGTATCCAGTACTTAGTATGCAGTAGATGTCCAGTGAAGACTTATCAATTGACGTATTCATATGCCCAGATTTGGCCAAGGGACGCGGAGGTGGCGTGCAGAAGGCAGGGGACCGGTTTCTGCTGACTTCAGTTATTTCTCTGCTGCCACGCAGGCCACCGAATTAACACAGGGTGCTCGGGTACGTCTTCCTTCAGACTGGACTGATCCCACAGTTAATGGTTAACATTCTTTGTTTACCTTAATGATTGCCAAGACCTATTGCTGCACATGATACACACTGCAGTCCGATTGCCTTGGCCCTGAGGGTAGAAGACCAGTTTTGAAGTGGTTGTAGGGTCTGGGATGGGATTGGAAATACTCTGGTCCATCCCTACGCATTCACGACGTGGACCATAAGCTGAGAGCCAAAGAACACCCGGGCACTGCCCGGTGGGGGAAGTGGTGCCATCCTCTGCTTTGACCTCAAGGTGTCAATCGGCACTGCCCATGCCTGTTTTCCTCCCCAGAGTCGTGTCCTTTTAGAGGCTGGGAGCTGGAAGGGATGGAAGGAAACTTCTCTGCAGCTGCCCCACACACTGAGTTCCCCTGTGGCCAGGGGATGGGGGATGGCTGAGAGCTGTTGATGAGCTCACGTCCATGCAGTTCGGTCTCCCAGATGAGACGGACTAAATGTGGGTACACTGATGACAATGATGCCTGTCTCCCCGGGACAGGACAGTAACTCCGGGCTATGGAATCTGTCTAGCCAAACCCATTGGGAGCTCAGGGGGATCAATCTTATTTAATAATTGTGTGTGTGTGAGGAGGTGGGGCTGGTTAATGTTTGTCTGGTTCCTCTTGGGCTTTGGGCCATATTTGGCTCCGGCCCTGGGTTCTTCGCCCCTCCCCTGGGCTGGGCTGACAGTACCTAGTGGCACGGCGCAGACACGTCTGCAGACGTTCCCGTGAAACAGCAGCAGCTGCAGCCAGGTGAGGAAGTGCGGGTGCTGAGAGCGGTGGACCAGGGGGTGCTGGTGTGGCACAGGGGACACCAGTGGGGGCTGGGGAGAAGCCCTGCTCTTGCCTTCCCTTGGCCTTGGCATTCAGCCACTTGGATCAGTTCTGTGCCTCCCTGTGAGTTGGGGTGAGGCCCCTCCTGCCAGGTGGCAGGCTTGCTTAGCCTCTCTTTGTAGCCCCCAACTCTCATCCCCCGTCCAGGCTCCAAGTTGTTTGCCCTCTCAGTCCTTTTCCTTAGCCAAGGGTTCCCCTCATACACATAGGGCCAAATTCCCAGGGTGAACTGAGGTTCCTCCTGGCACAGGGTGGCCAAGTTCATCTCTTGAGAACATTTCCTGCCACATGGGTTAGGGTTCGGCGGGACCACTGGGCGCTGCTGTTTTCCTCCCCCGATTGGAAGGGAAAGCGGGCACGTGAGCGACACGGGGGCTGCGGGCACATGAGCGCGGCGCACTCCGTAGGTGCAGAGGGCGGCCAGCAGGGCTGAGGCTTGGGGACGCGCATTTCCATCTTCTTGAGGGAGGCGGGCAGACGTAGGCAGAGCTTGGAGGAACTGGCCATTTGGAGGTCTAAAGGGATTGCCTTCCAGCTGTTGGAAAGTTGTTCCAGCTGTTAGGAATGGCATGGCAGGACGCGTGGACTTGGGAAATGAGAGGAGGGAGGATAACAGAGCCGGGAAAGAGGGGTTTGAATGGAGAGAGGGGAGACACGGGTGCCGCAGAGCAGGGGGTAGGGACCCAGCTTTGGTGAGAGACCAACGTGAACCCGACCGGAGCTCCAGGACTTGCTTCCCAGCGGTGTGATGAGCTGCCCCACCTCTCCGAGCCTCCATTGCCTTGTCTAACTAAACACGAAGGCAAAACACACCGGGAACGACACAGAGCACATGAATATCTGGACTTTAACCCAAAGTCAAAAACACGGTTTGGATTTCAAAATCAGGTCCCGCCCCTCGATGTTTTTTAAAATGAAACCCTTGAGATACTAATGTTGACATAAGGATCAGCTCTTCTTCCAAACAGGAGAGCAAAACTTGAGATCCAAGTGCCCACACAAGGGTCCTTAGGGAGCTGCTGGCCATGCCCCAGGAGGCTCAGGAAGATGAGAGGCTGAGAGCTCCAAGAACTAGACACTCAGAGGGGGCCAGGCCGTCTGCGGGGCACCCTGAGGGCCAGAGAGAACAGCTCAACCGTGCTCTGGAGCTTGAGTAGGCAGTGCACGAAAGCTAAGGGAGGGAGAACAGGACAGACCAGGACGCAGCTGAAAGGAAGAGCTGTCAGTCAACAGGAAAGGGGAGAAGCGGCTACAGAAAAATAAAGCCAGGCCAGTGTTGAATCTCCCCGTTTCTGAAAACACAGAAAGGGAATGATTCGTTCCAGCCAAGGTGCTAGAGCTGATGGGACAGAGCGTGGGCTCTGGGGTCAACTTGGCCTGGCTCAAATCCCAGCTCGGTCATGTGCTAGGTGCACAGCCCTTGTGACCCCTTGGACAAATCCCTTCACCTTTCTTTACCTCAGTTTCCTCGTCTGGGACGTGAGGACTGAAAGTCACACCGACCTCGTGGGGTTGTTCGGGGTTTTACATGAGATAGTGCGTGTGGGAGGGCCTGGCACATAATAGGTGCTCAGTAAACGATTATTCTTAATGCGCCTTGACCACATGTTTCTGAATCTGATGTTTCACCGGACAGAACATTTCCTTACAGCTCACCGTGGCGCCTCCAGGAGCGGATCTGCCTTCAGGACCCCAGGCTTGGGAGAAAGGGCACCGGCGCCCTTGTTTCCCTACACTGCCTTGGGCCACAGCATGAACTCACTAGTGATTTTTTTTTGTAAGTTAAATGAAGAAACTTGGTCGAAAGAAACCGTCTATGTCCTGTGGACCGTCTCTTCGTCCCTTAGTTTCTTTCACCCCAATCCCCAACTTTTCCAGTTGCTAATACCTTACCCCTTCCCCTCGGGACAGAGAGGACCGCCCGGAAGTGGATGCGGAGATTCTGCCACAACCAACTGCCCCTGCACCGGGGGCAGGAAATGCCCTGCATTTCCCGCAAGTTCAAGCCTGTGTGTTCTCCTCGCACCCAGTTCCCTGCTTCCAGCGTGACCTCCTTACGACTTAAGGGCAGAAGTGGTGGGAGGTGGGGGGAGGCCTTCTTGCCTACCTAAGGGATAGAGGTGAATTTCTTCCCTAGAGCATCTGGCAAGCTTGGGAAACCAGGAGGTTACACTGCACCCTTGACTTTGGGGCCAGGGCAGCAACGGAACCGTCTGTTCCATCTGAGATGGACACTGTAGGTCAACAGTAGCATTGGGAAGGAAAAAGAGGGGTATTGGGTTTGGCGGCCCACTTAGTCCCCCAAAGCGATATTGTTTTTTCTTCCTGGTAAGGTTCATACTTCCCTTGATCAGCAACTGTGCAAGTGGAGCTAAGAACTTTTGCAGGTTGCTTCATTACCTCCCTGTATAGCCCTGGGTACTAAGGCCGTGTACAGATGAGCAGGCTCAGAGAAGTTCAGTCACTCGCCCAGGGTCACATGAGGTGCAGAACCAGGATTCAAACCCCAAACTGGGTGACTGTTACCTATTCCATCTTCTAACTTTCTACTGATTGCTCAACTCTTTCTTTCTCCTTCTGGCTTATTCTCACCATGTGCTCACCTGTCCACTCTCTGTAGGGGTCCCCTCTCTGTAGGGGTCCCCTTTCCAGAAGCTCAAGGAGAGATATTCGGGGTGTGCTCCATGAGCCTGGATTTGGAATTTGCTCGCAGGTCAACAGCATCCGCATTGACTGTACTTTTACGTGCAGCGTTAGCCTTGGCTTTTGTTGTTACTATCGGCTAGCCTTGACTTTTGCTGACACCATCTGCAAAAGCACAAGTACACTGTGGAGAGAGCCGAGACCTCTGCTTCAGACCCTTCTGTGTTTCATGCTACTCTCACTCTTCCAAGCTGTGTCACCTTGAGTGAGTGACTTAACTTATCCGAGCTGTAGCTTCCTCATCTAGAAAGACTAGGGTAACATCCTTAGAGGCTGGCTAAGTAGGTCAAAAGAAAGAACGTATGGGAAAATGCCTAACGCAGTTCCTGGCTGCGTAGACACGAGCTCCCTCTCCTCTCCTCTAGCTCACCCATACCCTGGAGGGGCTCTGGCCTAGGAAAAATCCCGCACAGCCGAAGCTTCTAGTTCATGGGGAAGGGCCTGGGCCAAGAGTGTCCTGGTTCCCTCGGGTCCCCTCGTACATGTACCTGTATTTGTTACATCTCCTCCCCCTCCACTGCGACCATTCTTCTGGTGGGGCTATGGGGCGGGTGCGGCGACGGACCGGACGGGCACAGAACAGGTGGGTGCAGGCTGGGTGTCCGGCCTGGGACACAAGTGCTCTGTGTGGAGGGTGGGCGGAAGTCAGGGCGTTTGATCTGAATTCTAAAGGGCGTTGTTCAGAGCCCCACAAAGGTCCCATTGTGCAGACACTGGGTATAAAGCAGCATATGACTCCCCAGCACCGGGCGCCGATGAATTGGGACGCAGGCGCGGACCCGGGGACCACTCCCCCGGCACAGACATGAGACCATAGGGGACCTGTCTGGGTGGCCTCAGGGACAGGCGCTCCCCAAGGTAACGGGGCTTTGGGGGTTCGCCCCAGGTTCAAAGTTAAGGAGCTGGAGGATGGGGAGCTAAAGAGGATGGCTGAGGGCAGAAGATGGGCCTGGCAGAGAAAGGGGCTAGAGAGGAAGGAATGTTGGATGCAAGCGCAAAAGGGAGCTGGGGCTCAGGGAAGTCGAGGCGAATGAGTGAGAGAGGAGGCGAGGCCGGCAGGGGCGATGGGGTGATGCGGACAGCTCTGACTACCCTTTCTTTCCTGACACCGGCTCTCTCGGAAGGGCTGAGCGTGTCAGCCGGTGTCATGGTGGCCACCTTCCGCCCCCGCCCTGACAGCTTGCTTTGTGGCTCCTGTCTTACAGGGGTGAATGAGGCAGGATGAACTGGGCAGGCTTGTACACCGTGCTCAGCGGCGTGAACCGGCATTCCACAGCCATCGGCCGAGTGTGGCTGTCGGTCATCTTCATCTTCAGGATCATGGTGCTGGTGGTGGCCGCAGAGAGTGTGTGGGGTGACGAGAAGTCTTCCTTCATCTGCAACACCCTCCAGCCCGGCTGCAACAGCGTCTGCTACGACCACTTCTTCCCCATCTCCCACGTGCGGCTGTGGTCCCTGCAGCTCATCTTGGTTTCCACGCCGGCGCTGCTCGTGGCCATGCACGTGGCCCACCAGCAGCACATAGAGAAGAAAATGCTGCGGCTCGAGGGCCACGGTGACCCCCTGCACCTGGAGGAGGTGAAGAGGCACAAGGTCCACATCTCAGGGACATTGTGGTGGACCTATGTCATCAGTGTGGTCTGCCGGCTGCTGTTCGAGGCCGCCTTCATGTACGTGTTCTATCTGCTCTACCCCGGCTACGCCATGGTGCGGCTGGTCAAGTGCGAGGCCTACCCCTGCCCCAACACGGTGGACTGCTTCGTGTCCCGCCCCACGGAGAAGACGGTCTTCACCGTCTTCATGCTGGTGGCCTCCGGCATCTGCATCGTCCTCAACGTGGCGGAAGTGGTATACCTCATCATCAGGGCCTGTGCCCGCCGGGCCCGGCGCCGCTCCAATCCGCCCTCCCGCAAGGGCTCGGGCTTCGGCCACCGCCTGTCACCTGAGCACAAGCAGAACGAGATCAACAAGCTGCTGAGCGAGCAGGACGGCTCCCTGAAAGACATACTGCGACGCAGCCCCGGCACGGGGGCCGGGCTGGCCGAGAAGAGCGACCGCTGCTCTGCCTGCTGATGCCAAGCGCCAGGCGCCCTCCCGCCCTGCCCCCACCCCGTCCCGTCCTGGGCCTCCTTCTCCTCGACGGTGCACAGGCCTCTGCCTGCCAGGGAGAGAGCCCATCAGAACCTGCCTTCCGGCCCCACTCCCCTTCCTCCCAGGGCCTCTGTCTGCGGCCAGTGCCAGTGTTCAAGGTTATTGGGGGCACTCTTGTTGCCTGGACCCCTTCCTCTTCCCTCTCCTCTCTGGGGCCACTGGGGACCAGAGCTAGGATGCTCTGCAGTATCTCCGATTATGAAACTAATCTTAACCCTGTGCTGTCAGGTACCCTATTTCTGGAGTCGCATCGGTGGGGAGGGAAGTCAGCGAGTAGAGGGAGGGGGTGCTGCGGACGCGTGGGTGGAGGGGGAACAGCTGCCTCAAGGAAAAGGAGGACAAGTCTGGAGTGGAGGGCGAGGGAGGGAGACAGAAGCAGGCAAATAAATCCGAGTGGGAGTTGCTCAGGGCTGCTTTGCCTCTAGTCCCCAAGGCCTCCCTGTGCCTGAAATGTTACACATTAAACAGAATTTTGCAGTAAATGAAGGGGTGGCTTGTGTGTTTGTCAAGTGCTTTCTCCCGCAGCCTCTGGCCTGCCCCTGGCTGAGCTGCCTCGGCTGCTGCTGGCCAAGGAAGGAATGGACGCGGAGCAGGGCCACCCGAGGCCGGAAGCTGGAACGAGGGACCGCAGCCCTCCTGGCCCCAAAGCCGGCCCGGGCTCTTCTGCCCTGGGCTCCGTTGCTCGGTCTTGGGGTTTTGTATTTTTTTTTTTTCCTCTTCATTTTGTAATAACATCTTCATTGGGATCTAATTCACTTACTCCCTTCCCCTGCTTTTATTTATTTATTATCCATGTTAGGCACGCAGTTTACTGAGTTTGGGTAACTGTGTGAAGTTTTGTAAACATGAGCACGATATATTATAAACCAGTGACATTACCTCGAAAAGTTTCCTTGGGCCCCTTCCTCTGATGTTGAAAAGACTAAAATGAGGACTGCCTCCAGGGAAGCGGGAAATGATAGAGAAATTGTGCGGGTCTTTGAGCGGAGCGCACATTCCCTGGGTACCTTGGGAGAAGCGTGTAGTCCCTTTCCTGCATCGAAAGTCAGCATTCTAAGCAAAGGAACGCCTGCAGCCGCCCATCCAATTGTGCAATGACTTTGACCCATTTCCTCTGCATCTAGCCCCTAATCTCCCCTCCTCCCCTTTGAGCCTCAGGGATCAATGCCACCCACCCCAGAGATATCTCCCCCCACCCACGTCCGACACTGCATAGCAACAGTGTCCTCTCCAGCATCCCTCTGCAAAGCCGTCTGCTGTGGAGGGAAAAGCCCCAGGCTGGGACCTGACAGAGCTGGGTTCCGGTCCTGCTTCTGTCACTCATTAGCAAGGCATGCCTTTCTCCAAGCCTCAGTTTCCCTGTGAGCAAATAGGGCTGGCCCCACACATCTCTGAGCTCCCCGTAACACTCCATGCCTCTGGAATTCTGAAAAGCCTTCCCCTGCCTCGCCGGGGGTTTCCCCTCTCAGGGTTGCTGCCCTGGCCAATGGCCCCTCAGAGGAAAAGTAACCCCCTCCTGCGAGGAGATCTCTCTCCTCAGCTTTCCTACCTCCTAACAGAAAAAGCGATCCGCCACTCCCTCTCAGAGTGCTGGCTCCACATGGCGAGTCGAGAAAGGAAGAGAAAAGCAGGCAGAATCTTATCGGAATTGCTTTCCCCTAATAACAGTCTCTCCTTCCTCCAGAAAGCATGGGAGGTGTTCTCCGGGCAGGCTGTTTGTCCTTTAGAATAAGAGAGACAGAGCATAGACCTTTCCCCCACAGTCAGCAATCTGAGAGCTTCCTCCTCTCTTAAAAGAGACACATTCCTTTCCTGGGAGAAATGTCCTTCCTCCTTGGAAACCAACATCAGCCCTGTCAGAGGGGGTCCACACCCCCTCGCGGCAGGAGAGATTCCCTTTCTTTCAGAAACCCATCCACCCCTTGCCCACAACACTACACACGGGAGCATCACCTCTCGGTCCAAAAGGCCATCAAGAGAGAGATTTTGTTTTTGTATTTTTTTTTAATTTTGTTTTTTATCTTTATTGTTGAAAGTATTACAGATGTCCCCTTTTCCCCCCTATTGACCCCCTCCTCCCCACTCTCACCCCCCTCCTGCTTTCCCCAAACCATCGTCTGTGTCCACTGCTCGTGCATATATGCATATGGGTTCATAGAAGTTCTTTGATTTTCTTTTTGAAATTGCCCTCCGCACACCGAGAAATGCTAAATCCATCGCCACCTCCAAAATTGTCTTTCTTTTCAAAAGATTCTACAAATCCCCTTTGGAAAGAGCTCCAAGTCCAGATCGAGGCTTTCTTCTCCAGGGGGCAGTGGTGGGACAATGAAGCTACACTCAGATGGGTGTTCCCGTCACCAGGAGGCCACTGGCTCTCGCGTCCCGCGAAGCAGGCGGGAGCAGGCCACAGGAAGCGTGAGCCGAGCCAGTGTACACACTGTCGCAGGGAGGGAGGAGGAAGAGTAGAGGGAACCCCGGGACTGCCTCTTTTTATTTGAGGCTCTGCTCACAGGGGTGTAAGGGAGAAACAGGAAGCAGATGGAGCTTCATTCTTGCCACACAGTAGACACTGTATTGAGTAATCAGGGTGGCGAAGGGGACAGTGGAATCGGGAGACCTGGGTGTCCATTCATTAGCTCCGTCCCCTTGGACACCTTATACTTACCCTCTCCGAGTCTGTTTCCTCATCTGCAATGTAAGGTTGATAATAACCTTTCTGCCTCTGTCACAGAGCTTTGTGACATTCATGCAAGGCCCAGCTACGAACTGTAAAGGAGGGGAAGATACATCAGAAGCACTAAGACCACAGCCTTAAGGCTAAAACTTGCGACGAACCAGAAAGGAGTGAGGCAGGTTGAGCTAGGCCGGAGCTGCTGGAAAGAACTTGGCAGTAACAGTGTTAGCTCCCCCAGGGAACAGCCAGCAGGCCAACCAGCAAGGTCCAAGAGATGTTGCAAACTTCTCCTGAGTGTGATCCACCTAAGGGGGCAGAAAGAGCCTAATAACAGGACTTTCTAACACACTCTCGTGCGTGTTCTCGGTGCTGTTAAGAACATGTGTGGTCTTTTGGAGGCATCTGTAGGCAGAGCTACTGGGAGCTTGGGGCTAAGGGGCAGAGTCAGCCCCTGGCTGAAGTAGGAGAGTAGTAAAAGTCCCAGCCGGCTGAGATGGGATTTCAAAGCAGGCTGCAGTATCCATAGAGAATTGGCATAGCAACCATGGACTGATGTGGAGGCCCAATCAGATAGCCTGGGCGCACACAGTGGCAGCTAGAGGATGTCTGCTCCGTCTACTGATTCCACGATACTTAAATGCCAGCCTAACCTGTGGGGGGGAAGGGGCTATAAATACCCACTAAGCTGGGCCCCCTTTGATTTCTGGACTAGGCCAGGCGGAACCTGTCAGGTGGGAATAGGATTGGGCCATTGTGGGGAAGGGGAATAAAGCAGGCAAAAAACATACATATCTGAAAGGCAGTGATGCTGTCTTCAGATTCAGACTAATAATCCGCTGTGGGGGGTTAAGGATGGGGTAGCTACAGGGGAGGTGGGGAAGACAAGCTGACCAGCTTACGATGGGCCTTATCTGTCACTGTCAGGGGTTAAGACTGTCCTATAGGTAGTGGAAACCATGAGGGTTATGAGTCGGGAAGTGCCAGTTTCAGATTTGTGGTCTGGGAGCTCAGTCCGGCTGCCACACGGAAAGTAGATTAGGGATTGGGAAGAGAAAAGGCAGAATGACCAGCTATGTATAGTCCAAGGAGGGCCCATAAGACTCAGACAGTGGCAGAAGGAATAAGAGAAGACAAATGTGAGGGACACGTTGTAGAATCTCCAACAGGGAGATGGAGGAGCCAAAGTCAATTGGGTCATTTCCTTCCCCTTCCTTGATGGGCAGATACCTAATCATCCAAGACTCAGCTCCAATGTCATTTACTATGTGAAGCTTTCAACTGTCTCCTCTTCGACCCCCACCAGTCCCTCTGCGAGAATGGGTCTCCCTCCGCTTCCGAATTTCTGCTGGGCTTTGTAGTATATGTTAATTAGGGCACTTATCCAATTGTGTGGTAATTACACCCGGGCTGGTTTGGCTCAGCGGTTAGAGCATCAGTCTGCTGGCTGAAGGGTCTCAATTCAATTCCAGTCAAGGACACGTACCTGGGTTGCAGGTTTGATCCCCAGCCACGGTCAGGGTCATGCTGGAAGCTATCAATTGATGTATCTCTCTTACATCAATGTTTCTCTCTGTGTCTCCCTCTCACTCTCTAAAACATCAATTGAAAAAATATCCTTGGGTGAGGATTAACAACAACAACAAAAATGTTTTAATTGTGTGGTAATTACTTGCACAATCTTAACACACAAGAGGTACCGAGCCTGTTGGATTACGGGCAGTAGGGACAGGATATAGGCATGTGCCATGGTTCAGCATCTTGAAAGAGTAGCGTGTGCTCAGTGTGACTAGAGCAGCGAATGCATGGGATTGGGCAGAGGTCGTAGCAGATGGTGAGACTGGCAAAGGAGGTTGGAGCCAGTTCATGAAGGGTCTCCTGTACTGTGCATAGAAGTTTGCGCAGGAGTTTGAAGTCTCAGTTATCACATGAAACCCTTATGACTTCCAAGTCAGGCCCGTGCTATACTTACAGGTGATTCTGTACTCATAATTATAGACTGACTGCGGAGACCTTGAAGAGAGCCAGGTCAGGGCAGATCTTTGCACAAATTAGTACATTAAGCCCAGCTGTGTGACTCAGTTGATTGGGTGTTGCCCTGTGCACTGAAAGGTCGCCAGTTCGATTCCCAGTCCAGGCACATCCCTGGGTTATGGGCTCAATCCTCAGTAGGGGACGTGCAGGAGGCAGTCAGTAGATGTTTCTCTCTCTCTCTCTCTCTCTCTCAATCAATCAATAAAAACTTTTTTGG